CAAGCACTGCCTCCGTTGACTTGTCAATTGCTTCTTCACTTGCTTCTGCATGTTCCTCTGTTTGCAGTTCGGATTGAAATGGAATCGGACGAGGATCAGCAATGACGTTGTCAACTAGACGGTCCGGCTTGGGCTCTTTGGCCTCTTTCAATGCACGGAGTGGGAAGACAAAACCTCCCGCGATGAGCTCAACACGTCGTGCTCGCTGCACTGTGATGCTGCCCGTTTCTGCATGGTAATCCAATGCTTCTAACTTGGCAACAAGATACTCACCCTTCCATGCAAAACCAGGTTGAATGTGGTATCCCAAAAAGATTCCATCATTTGCAGTTGGTGATGTCTTTCCAGATGTGTTGTCAACCCTTTTTGGATTGTTCCAAAACAGTATCTTTGCACCGAAAGGAATCAACTGACCTGGAAAATCTTCTTCGAATCTGAGTTTCCATGGGGCATCATCACCGTTGAGCTGTGGCGTGGCATTCACTGCCATGGAGAAATGCTGCATGGCCATTGGCCAGTACTGCAATGGAAGACCTGACTGCACGAGGTTTGTGCGCGTGCCTTCAAGCATGTGCCTGATCTCCCTCTAAACGACTTTGAACTGTCCACGTACTCTGTTGATGTTTGATGTCTGTACCCCAACTCTGAAATTGTAGCAATAAGTTCTCGTGAATTGTCAGTGTAAACTGCCCCAACTTCATCCTTGTGAGATAAGAAGTGGTTGAAAGCATTAACACATGACTCACTCGATTTGGTCTGACTTGGATAGACGTGCCTGAACTGAGTGTGAATGTCCTTCATCACCAGTGCCACTGTTTCACCTTTGACGCCTTCTTCCACATTGGATTTGATTACAGTATGGTCAGCGACAATGTGATCCCCAAAACTTTTGGTTTCCAGTCTTTTCTGTCCCCCTTTCTTCTTTGCGGGTGGCGCCATCATGCGCGCCTTCTGACAGATCTTGCAAAATGGATTCTTGGGGTAATGGCAAAACTGGTGAGATTTACTGCATGCCTCTTGCTCAAGGTCGGATGCCTTTCTGGACCTGACGTATTCGGTTTCGCTATCATGAGCTACTCCCTCATCCACGCCTTCTTCATCGGCACCTTCTGCTTTTGCAGCAACCATTGCAAAAAGACGTAACAAATCACAATCTTTCTTGAACTGTCCACTGTTCAAAACACGACAAGAGCTATCGATGACCGGCACACGGCCGTCTACATTAAGCTCAATGACTCCCATGTCCGGACGAATGAAGTAAGGCCTACCATCAGCTGGCCACACAAAACTGTAACCCTGTTCCATACATCTGACCCCAACCGAAAGAACAGCAGGAGTTTCCTCGAGAATGTATGGTGAGAACGGCTGATGTAGGGCATCGACCTTTACGTCGGCCACCTCATCCGCTCGTGTTGAACCGTTTGCTGTAGCAAGGCTGATCGGAGTGTCGCTGACACGGCGGTTTGTCGCCTTTGCAGTCTTCAGCATACCCTCACTAATCAAATCCTGTTCACTGCCCGTGTCAACCAACCAAACACATCCATCTTTTGATGCCGGCGTAGCAACAGTGGGCAAATGAGTGTTACTGACTTTGTTCTTGGGACCGATCATTGCTCTACAGTGGTTGCATGACACTCCCCCTTCTGGGTCATTACATCGGAATCGGCATTTGGGCTGCGTCTCACTGCCGAAGAGCTTCACAAGTTCCTGCAACTGTCGGGCCGAAACCTGAGCACGGTGAGCGACGAGTTTGTCGGGCTTTGGTACTGACTCTGAATCAGGGAACGTCTTCTCGTAGATTCGGGGTCTGTGCACTACCTTTCTCTGTTCACCTGTTGCTGGAACTTTGATGTATTCCACTTTTGATGAAAACACAATAGCTCTGTGGCATTGTTCTTTCATGGCCTTTGTAGCTTTCGGCAACCCTTTTCCCTTTGCTATGCATGCATACCTTTGAGTAATGCATGGCGCAGCTTTTGCACTGGCCTTCTTCTTTGGTGCAGGGCTATTGGTACGTTTTGGATCCTTTGTGGGTGCAGCTGCAACTTCATGTTTGTAAAAACATTTGTCACCACGACGACATTTGCCCTGTTGGAAGTAAGTGCATGGGATCTTAGCCATCTCTTCCCTTGACTTTCTGTTGGGGGAACCACTTCTGCTACCGCCTTTGCCCTTACCCTTCTTTTTGGGAGTGCCAGATCTTGAGGAATCCTTGACATGCTTGTAGGGACAGTCTTTGCCCTTTTCGCATTTGCCATCCCTAAACTTGTAGCATATCTTATCCCCTTTTCCACTCTGGCTACGACCACGGGATCGACCTCGATCACCCTTTCCTTTGCCGCGATCTTTGCACCCCTGAGCGGGTGCAGCGGGCTGAGGCTTTTCGGTCTGTTTGTTCTTTTCAACGATTCTGTGTCTGTTTGAACGGAGTCTTTCTCTATCCAAAAGATCACGAATGTTTCTCAACAAGAATGCATAAGACTTTTGTTCTGACTTCTCAGGAGCTCTGTCGAATGCTTCAATGTCATACTTCATCAATTGACATTTTCGGATTTGTCTGAGTAAGATGTCTCTGAGAACCAAATCATCTGGCGGGGTTTCCATGCCGGCAATTGTGGCGTCCCATCGGTTCAGAAACCTTCTAAGGTCCTCCACAGATTCTCCAGTGCGAACGACTCCAAGTAGGTCCTCGACGCGGTAGAGACTGCCAGCTTCCTCAGACGTCCTGAAGTAATCTTCAAACATCAAAAGGACTCTCCTACCTCTGACTTGGATCCCTTTCTTTGACTTCTCATCTTTGAAGTTATGGATCTTTGTTGCTAAATCACCTTTGGCCGAGCGAGTTAACGCTGCCGACAATTTGGTGTCGAGTGTGATAAACTTCCCAGGTTCCTGCAGCTTTTCCTCCAACTTTTCCCTAGGGGTTTTGTTGTCAAAGACTTCATTGAGCCAAAGCCAAGCCTCATCGGGTTTGTCGGAGCACGACTTGACTTCGTCCCTGACATGATTACGCCAGTGACGATACGCTTCTGGGGCAGGCATGTCGTTCAGTTTGATAGTCTCTGCCTCTTTTGTTCGGGGCTTTTCACCATCTGAATCCTTTGAAGTCAGTCTAGTGATGAGATCTAGCAATTGTTGACCTGAAAGACCTAAGCCTGCCTCAGCTGCTTTCTTGCCAGGGTCGCTTGCTATTACTGTAGGACTGGGCACACTATGTTCTTGGTTTGCATCATCATCATTTTGTCTTTGAACTGGCAATGGTGGCAGTTTTGGAGGGGCTGCTGATCCGGCAGGGGTTGTTGAGAACAAGTTGCTCAACCTTTCCTTGCCGTCCATGGCTAAGCTGCTCATACCAGTGTTTGGCATGGGTTCTGCTCCAGCCTTGGTACCGACCGCTGATTTTGGGGTCATGTACAAATCGACATTGTTCCCGCCTTGTGAATCATCAACTTCGACGGCTCTGTCGACATTAATTTCTGGGGCGCTGTACTTGTTGAGCTTCTCCATCAAATCCTCCACTTGTCCCTGCAATTGAAAGTTGAGTTCAGCAGCTTGGTTTTCCTGCCTACTGCATTCCTCTCTAATTTCCTGGATTACAGCTTGTTCCTCCTTCTTGAAACCTTCCATGCCGTTCTTTGCATACTCCACTGTTTCGTCCACGATTCGTTTACAGTCTGCCTCGAGGCTACCTCTGAGTTCAGAAAACCTTTGTTCGTACTGGGCTGTAACATGGGCTGCCTTTTGGTTGGCTCTTTGCTCAGCTTCCAGTGCAACTGCATTTGCAGCATTCTTCAGCTTTGCGTTTGCATCGCTAAGTTCCTGTCTCAGTTTTGCTACCTCATGCTCAGTTGCCGTTTGGGACATTGAATACTCTGACACTAGGAGTTCATGTCTGCGGTCAGCTTCTGCACGTTGATGGGCGATTTCGCTAAGGCAAATTCCCTCAAACTCTTGGTACAGTTGCTGGACCTTTTGTTCCATGAGATGTGTGTGCCTCTCCTCTGCCTCTTGCCTGAAAGCATCAATGTTACCTTCGTTGATGTAGGCAAGATTGTTTTGCACGAACTGGAAATAGGCTTGCACGGGCTGTGTGAAGAAACCTTCATCCACTGACATGGGCGTGGGGTTTGTCCCAGCCGGCAAGCTTTGTTGAGAACCAGTTGATGCGGATACTGTTCCAGTCGAAGGGACAAGGGCACCTCCACCTGTAGCGTCATGCGTTTTGTCCATGGCTTTAGAGACTACGGCTGATAACCTGTATTTTCAGGTTTCAGCTGGGGTTATGTTATAATCCCAAATAGACTGATAAACCTAAAGGTGGGGAAAAGAACCGTTAAGCTAGTGACTCAGCAGCACCTTTTGTCTGAGCCGCAATGCTGTGGTAACATGCTAGTGTACATGTGTGTTTTATGTGAGGTGCTTTTACAGAATCACATTCACCCATTCAAGAAATGTTTGAAGAAAGCCCTGGTATCATTCATTCCCTGCAGGACTGATCGGTACGAGCGGAAGGTCCTTTATTGGGCAGAAACTGCGGTTAAAAGCAGCCAAAAGAATCTCAGTCATTATTCTGACTGTCACTTTTTGGCACGCATTTTCTTCAGCGCTGCTTCTCACATTATGTACATAATCACGGTGTGTGAATAAACACCGTGACTTGACCTCTAAAATATATCTAGGGAAACAAGATCATGCATACCGTCTTTCTTTTGCTTAGAATGCCATAACCTGCTATGAGGGCATATGGCATGGCACGAGGTTCAGAACACAGTGCACAGATTGTGTATTTAGCCAGTAGTAAAGTAGACCTTTTGATGAAGTAGGATCCAATGACCATATAACATCCCTAGTCCGTCCCATAATCAATTTGGTTGAGTAATAAGTATCCCTTGATCCGGTGCGGCATACTAGGCCCCGATTCTTATATTACACTCCTTTATAAGTAACCTATCATTTTTCCAATGGCTTATTTGATTTCTATTGACCTCCCATTAGCCAAGGCAGCGCAGCCAGATCGCGCTGAATCGCCGGGTGAATTGGGAACAGAAACCGCCTCACTTTGAGGACTACGCCCCAGAGTGCCTGCAGCAGCCCGCTGCGGCGCTGCTTCAATCGGCTGTGGGGCCCATCAAGGAGGAGAAGGGGCCCAAGCGTGCGGCGCCAGAAAGCACCACCCCGACCCCAAAGCGGTTGCAGTTGTCTAGCCACCAAGGGGGCAGAGACCACAACCCAGGCTTGAGGGCACAACCTTTGTCCAAAATCTCCTGCTTTCAAACAAAGACAGTGATCACCCAGTCACCTTTATCTAGTCATTCTGGGGAACTTCTTGGTGACTGTTTAGTATTTGGGGGAAGGGGCTATAATCCAAATCCTTCAGGTGATGAGTCCAGCGATGAGGATTCTCAGACCCCGGAGGAAGTTGCGCAGATTGAAGCTGCTGAGAAGGAACGTAAGAGGGCGGGCCTTCCAGAGATTACTGATGATTCGCTTCCGAGTTCGCTTGCGAACAAAGTCATGATTCTTGCCAAAAGGGATTGACGATCCAAATACTTTTTGGCGAAGGGGGTAGAACTATCCGGCCAAGGGAGGCCATCCAGACCAGCGCAGCCTGGGCTGAGGATCTGCTTGACCAAGCGAGCCAAGAAGCTTGAGCTCGGCCTTGACAGGTTCACGTCAGCTCCTTCCCTCTCTTCGCTGCAAAACAAGACCTTTAGCATCAGGGCATGTTTTTCATGTAGGAAGAGAATCAGTATGAGTAACGTGTTTTACAATGCGAGGGTGGGCCCCATACTGATTATTTATTGAATAACAATTTTCCCATGATATTGTGGCAAATTTTCTCCTGACATTCATCACGGCCAAGGAGAATTAGGTTTGGAATTTGGTTGCACGTAGGACCCGGGAATGGATTGCACCAATAGAAACGCTGGGAAAGCATTGGATCTTTTCCTTTTGGGGTTCTCTGTATGAAGTTATGTCGATATTCAGTGGATGAATTACGAAAATGCTAAAGGCTCCCTTGGGCTATTGTCAAAACTTCCTGCATTCTACTCCTTTATAAAGTCCACCCTTGCAAGGATGAAAGCGAAGGTGGCAGACACCATTCAATCCTTGACCGGCATCAATGACAAAATTGAAGCTGCTTACCATGCTGGGGTGGTTGATGGTTTTGATTCCCAGTCTATTTCTCAGGTTTTCGGCATGGCATTTGAAACAGCAATGCCAATGACAAGCGCTGCTAAATTATCGCAACTTGTGCCTGGAAATTCAATCCATCCCTGAGGTCAGAAGATGAGATGTCGAAGCTGTTTGCAGCTGCACAGCAGCAGTGCTGCCCTTACGCGTGTCTGTGCATGTGTGTGTGTGTGCGAGTCTTTCGATCCGTGTGTGTGTGTGTTGTCCCTTCGGGAATTTTGCCAGACTTAATTCCCTAGACCACTTGCCTGCTTGAGGGCGCTGGAAGCATTGGGCCTGGAAAGTCGCATGAGGCCAGGTCTGGATGGAGATCGACACATCACGCAAGTCGAGCGCAGCAAGATGTTTTGTTCATTTTTCACAACTTGGACTGAGTAAGCAATTCCTGGTCACTTGGTGGATGGAATCAACTTTTGCAGAAACCTCACTGCTGCCATCCCTGGACTACGAATTCCCTGACTATTCATACGGTTACCTGAAAAATAGTAACAAAACGATTTGGAAATTTGATGCCCCCTGTTAGTAACTAAGGTACTTGAATTCTGGGTCGAGACTACATATTTTAGGTTCCAAAGATCCCACCCCTTTTTCTGAACATTGATTGAAGCGTTGGCTCCTGCCAGGCCTATCCTTCCAAAGGCCCCGTCCGGACAGAGTGAGCGCGGGAAACCCAAGAAGCCTTCCCGAGCTGCAAAGGCTGAGAAGGAAGCCGCCTTGGCAAAAGCCAAGGCCAAAGGCAAGGCGAAGGCGAAAGGAAGAGGCAAATCAGCTCCATAAAATCCCAAAGCGGAGAATGGGGAACCCGGAAGCTGCAGACGTGGCTGAGTAAGTTGCATTGCTTATCCCAAAACTATCCACCACCAGTCGTGGTTTGGCTGGGCTTGTTTCCACGCCGTGCAGCGTGCAGCTTACTTGGCAATTTCAATCCAAGCCGGCTGGGGGGGATGTGATATATGTCAACCATGTTTCATGTTATATGTACTCTTGTGTATCTACAACACAATTGTTCATAGAATGGTTTGGTTGGTTATTGTTGCAACCCCCCTTTTTAGCAAATCTTCGAGGGCTGCTCGTCTGACAGATGAGCCTGGCTTGTTTTTTTTGAAACAAGCATACTTTACCGTGCCTATATCCTTCACGCTTGTGTGGAGGCCAATCCATGTCCAGGGTTTAGGTTGAAACCTTTGTCATTGCACAAGGGACCAACGTAAAAGGGGTTCGAGAAGCAGAGCAAAAAGTCAAAGCTGTTGCGTCACTCGTCTCAAGGGTATCGGCCTCCCTCTGTTGCTGAGAAATATCCGTAGAAATCCAATGATGGATCTTAACTTAAGTTCTTTGGGGCAACAGCGAAGGTTATACCATCCCAACGGCAGCTTGCAACAGAAGGGAGCCCCAGTTGACGAACAACCGCAGCCAGGTGTCCGTGAAGAACGCGATGGAGGATTCGATGCCTTTGCAGAGACTGTAGCTGACGGAGCCACTAGCTACTCTGAACCTGGAAGTTTTTAGTTTCTTTTGAAGGGCATCATTCCCCCAATCAGATAGTTCAAAAAAATCGCATGTTGTAATATATAATATGTTGTACTAGGGGCCACCATGTTCATTTCAAGGCAAACGACATTGACTGGCAGTATTCTTTGCCAATGGAACCTAGGGTGTGGGAAAAAAGCATCTGGATGTGCACCCTTGAAAAAGCACAACCTGTTTGCGTTCGGAACGCGCGTTTTAAAAATTCGCGTTCCGGAATGCGCGTTCTGAATGGATCCTTTTTTCCAATAATCCAAAGTCGATGTATTTCCTGGGCCTGGACACTGAAACCTTTTCCCCCCAAAAAAAGATTTTGAGAGCTCGTATTCTTCTGGGCTCAAAATGGTGGATGAAGCCACCAGAAAGTTGATCTTCCCTTTTTTGGGTGAAGCAACAAAGGTTCTGGCCTCCACCAGGTTTGTGGGGCAAGTTAGGTTTTCCTTCCCGGATCCTTTTTGTCTCTGAAAGAAAAAGGTTCTGACCTCTCACAAGTTTTAGCGTAGTGCTATTAACAGAGGTCCAAGAAGACCTTGAAAAATTGTTGAAAAACTCTACGTGACACAGCGGATCCTTTTTGCAAGGAGCAAAAAAAGGATTGGGAAGCTTCTGGAGCCAAAAGCCACCAAAATATTGCTGGATGGTTTGTTGTTCTTTTTTTGTGGGCTATGTAGGCATTCACATAGGGAAGAAAACCTTTGAAGAACGCTGCTGAGGTACCATGCACAACAGCAGAGGCCATCCGCCGGGGCTACGCATCAAGCTGCCCAAGCGGCCCAAGTGGTTCTGGCTCTAATTTCGCTTGGAAGAAAAATTGTTCCAGAGCTACATGGAGATCGCTGAAAAGAGTGATGCGGGGTGTGAATGTAAAGGTTAGCACATACAACCATGTCACTGCTTCAGGGGATGTACTGCCCATGTCGTACATAGCCCCTACGGATATGCTGACTTTCCTTTTGGAGGAACACCCTGACTTGTTGGTGGGTGGGCTGCAAAGCCACCAAGACAGAGCAGAGAATCTAGGTGCATTCTGGCAAGCTTACAAGCTCCAGCATGCTGACCACAGAGTTTACCAGGAGCACCAAGACAGCCTGCAGACAGTTGTCCCCATAGCTTGGCACGGAGACGAAGGGCGCGGAAAGCGCCGTGGCAATACAGTCGTTGTTTCGTGTGAGGCAGTCATCGGTGTTCACACAGCTCTGCAGAAGAAGAGGCCTCATCCTTCTTGCGACTGTAAGGCCCAGGATGGCATCAAGCAGAAGTATGGCCCTCTGTCCAGAAAATTGCACGAGCACACATGTGACCTGCTGAAGAAGCAGTGGACAAACATGAAGGGGCATTCCTTCTTGCAGCATTTTGCTTTGTTTATGATACCAAGCTCTGTCCACCACGAGCACCCACAGGTTCTCATGGAGATGTTGAAACTGATCGCAGCCGATTTCCGGCGTTTGTTTTTCGAAGGCCTGACAGTACAAAGTCGGCATGTTTGCTTTGCAGTTGTCTCTGGGAAAGGAGACCTGAAATGGTTTTGCAAAATTGCGCTGGAGAGGTCATTCCAGAACCAGGGCGTCGTGACTGACATACCTTGTTGTCATGAGTGCCAAGCAGGAGAGCCTGACAAACCATGGGAAGATCTGCGGGAGCAGCCAGCCTGGGCGTTGTCTAGGTATACTCAACGACCATGGGCTCGACCTCCTCCCATGATAGGTGTGCCCTTTTCCGTCGCAGCGCCGGAGAAAATGTACAAAAGAGACCCCTTTCATTGTTTAAAGGTTGGTCTGTTGAGGGACCTGGCAGGTTCTTGCATCTGCTGGTTTGTGAGAAAAGGGTATTACGGAGAACAAGGAGATTTTGATGAGAAACTGACTGCTTGCCACTCCGTGTTCAGGCTTTTTTGTGCCACGACTGGACGCACAGCTTCTCTTCGAACCTTCAGCCGGGCATTCTTTATGTACCCGCGCTTCTCGGCCTACCCTTGGTGCAATGCCAAGGGGTCGGATGTTATGATACTACTCAAATTCATCACAGTGCAGTGCGTTGGATTTCACAACACACCTCTGGATCCAAGCCATGTACCCATCCTCAAGCTGATGAATCAAACATGCCATGCTGCCATCACCTTTTTTGATGGTCTGAATGGCCATGGGTTGTGGTTTTGGAGGGATTGCGCCATGGTGGTCTATGCCAGCCTCACCAAACTGATCAATGGTTATGCCACACTTGCTTGTTGGACCCTGAATGATGTCAACTTCAACGGGTGGGCGATGAAACCGAAACTTCATTTGGTCAAACACTACCACCTTGAGATTCATGAGATGCTGATGAGCGGTTGCGAGGTCTTCTACAACTGCAATCGGGATAATTGCGAAATGTGTGAGGACTTCATCGGGCGAATATGCCGCCTGAGCCGGAGGTTGGACAGTAGGAAGATCGGTGAGAGAGTCCTCAATTGTGCGCTCTTAAAACTTGAGCTCTTGCATAAGC